TGGGAGAAAAATCGTGAGTAGCGTTACAGGTAACACCCTGTATAGTAATTCCCCGATTATTTCTTGGTACAATTCTTGGTCGACACCATCATTTGTTGGTTCAAACGTTTTATCCTCCTGATTCAAACGTTTTATCCTCTCCTGGTACTATAGGCGCAGTAACTACATTACAATCATTCATGTTGTGTTTAACTAATAACTTTTCAATATACTTTGTTTGAGACAATCCTATTCCTGTTTTAAAACGTTCAATTTTTATGTTTAAGAAAGTGTTCGTATTCGTCGTTTCTGTTATTTCGTAGGATTTCCTAAGTTGTAACAGTATAGTATCGCATAATTTCCCGTTGTTATAAAAGATTGTAAAGTCATCAACGTATATTGTCACAATAATATAATCATTACTTTGCTTTAACAAAAATATGCAATTCTCTGACATTAGTTGTTCGAATCCTATTTCTTTGAGAGTATTTCTAAAGTTGGTATACCAGTTTCTTCCTAATTATAGGAGACCATAGATACTCTTTTTAAGCTTTAACACTTTCCCCTCACCATACTTTCTTTTGTATCCTGGCGGCAAGCTAAGATATATTGTTTTTTCAATGTCCCCATGTAAATATGCGGTCTTTACATCGAATAGTCGAAAACTCCAATTGAGTTTTGCACTCACAAGGAGACCTCACAGCAGTTGGGTCATCGATTTTAATACAGTTTTTTCTGGTGAATCTTAATGAAAAATAAGTTGACCGATATTCGGCCGTTTTTGTCAATACTCAATATTTAAAGAGATATTTAATATTTTAATTCTCTGATTTCCTTAAATGCTAAATTTGTAAATTTATTTTCAATAGCTATGTTAGGGAAGCAGGTAAAGTCGTAGGATCATTGAACTACTCCATCACGAGTTCAAATCCCGTCAGGGGCTAGTTCGTTTTTTCTCCAATTTTTTTTTGTTTCTGTTTTTTTGTATTTTTTTTTTGATTTTTTAAAATTCTGTTTTCATGTTTTTTGTTTTTAATTTATTATAATTTTTTTATATGTATTATTTACAATATACGGGAAGGTATACATCGTAAAACTTCAGTCAAATCTTGTTTGTCTTTTGTATCGCTGTCTCTTTCTACGTTCGGCACACTACAAAAAATGTAGGACCTCTACCGTAAATGTTACAATCGAGACCGGCAAAAGTAACATTTACGGAGTGAATACTGTATACATATGCCAATGCAAATATAAAACTTTTTTATTTTTGACTTTTTCGTTACCAAACTTTTACCAATTAATTCTTGACATTTTTGCGATTAAAATGAGACCAAACATGGTATAGTTTGGACTTTATTTACTGGTTTAATTGACGATAAAAGTTTGTAACGTAGAGGAGGATAGCGAGTCGAAAAGAAAGAGACGCTACGATCGTGGCAGTCGGCAAAGATCAAAAGCCTGTTCGATTGTTTGCAATGCGTATGCATCGCTAACTTTTTTATTTTTAATCTATTTTTTATACAACTTGTTTCATCGTATTTGTGACATTTTTCTGATTAAAATGAGACCAAACACGACGTAATTCGGGACATATTTACTTGTAACAACTTACTGGCTGGATGCTTGGAATCGATTAACTTGTACAAATGATAATCAATTTAAGAGTTTAATGATTTAAATTTATAGGGACAACTATAAATAAAACCTATTAATGTAAGTAAAGGTACATAAGAATTTCGCTTGGGACATTTATAATGGGACCGCGTCGAAAGGCCGTTTTTGAAGAAAATATTTTTCATATTGTCAGGTAATAGCTATTAACCTTTTTTTGAACAATACATCAAGAATTTTAGTTTCCGCTACATCCTCAATAGTCAAATCCGGTCATAAACTGGGTATTTCCCAGAGTATAATTTCAAAGGTACAATATAGCGGGACTTACTGACCATCGAGCCTTTATGGCCGGTGGAAAAACCCCGGCGTTGCCGGACTTGCGACTTTTTTCGGGTACTCACAGGTACCGCCCTACCCTTTCCCAAAAATCGCGTTAAGGGCACCATGGCCCAAAATTCGCGTTAAGGGCGCCATGGAAAAGTGGTGGAAGGCCACGGGACACACTAATTGGTTTTCGTTCAAATTAGAATTTCCAATCAGCGTGTATCTTGTCTTGTATCTTGTTTACTTAGCAGTACAAGAAGTTGTACATACATCACTTTTGCAAAAGAAAGCGATTAGAAAGGATCATTTACAAGCGATCTGACAAAGTGTATTTTTTCCAAAAAATATAACTGTACATTGTGAGTGAAACTCGTGAGTGTAAAGTGTCAGTTATGTCGAGCAGCAAGCGCATTGTTTTTACAATGCAACAGCGTTTGGAAATTTTAGAAGAGTTAAAAACATCTTCAATTTCAACCGTTGCGAGAAGACATAGAGTACATTATGCAACTATCCGACGCATCCTTCAGAAGGCATCAGTTATTTCAAAATTTGCAGAAAAAGATAAAAGGGAGAAAAATCGACGAAAAATAAGAAAACCCGTGTGTGAAGAATTGGAGCAGCGGTTGGTTACGTGGTTTGCTGAAAGAAGAGCTATGCACAAAACAGGGGATTTTATATCGGACGCATTGTTATTGGAAAAAGCAGCGGAATTGAAAGAAGAAATAGGCGCCCCGTCACATTTTAAAACCAGTGCAGGGTGGTTAGCAAAATTTAAAAGACGACATGGAATACGATTAGTGCACCTTTATGGTGAGCAAGATAGTGCCGATAGAAATGCAGCGGAACGATTTGTAACCAATTTTAGAAAGCTCGTAAATGAGGAAAATATTGATTTAAATAATATATATAATATGGACGAAAGTGGACTCTTATGGAAAGCGCTGCCAGAGAAAACCCTCGTGAGTAACAGTGAAGGGCGCGTGAGTGGGCAAAAACTTAAAAAAGAGAGAGTAACTGTGGGGTTCTGCGCAAATGTGACGGGGACGCACAAACTGATGCCAATTTTTATTAATAAATATAAAAAACCACGCGCTTTACAAAATATCACTAATAAGTTGCCCGTAGTATTTAAAGCGCAATCAAATGCGTGGATGGTCCAAGAGTTATTTGTTGATTGGTTTGATAACCATTTTAAAAAATCAGTGCAATTATTTCAGTTAGAGAACGGATTATCTGGAAAAGTAATACTTTTAATTGATAACTGTTCCAGCCATAGATTTCCAGCAAACTACACACATGAAGACAAATTCGAAATTATGTATTTACCACCAAATACAACAGCCTTGATTTAACCCATGGATCAAGGAATAATAGCGGAAACGAAAAGATGTTTCAGGCACAAATTAATGCAGTATGTACTCCAGAACGAAAATGGGATTAAAGAGTTTTACACAAAGTATACGATTAAGGATTGCATCGACATAATCAGTACAGCGTGGAACCAAGTAACGCAGAATAATATTAGAAATGCGTGGAATAAAATTATTCCTCAGACTCAAATGGAAACAGAAGTAGCTGAGGAAGAAGAACAGGAAGAGAATATGATTTTACAAATGCAATATACATGCACACAATTTTCTGAACAAAATATAACTGTACATGATATTTCAGATTACCTATCCACATATTCGGCCGAGGAAAACAAACATCTAAAGGAGGCTGACGGAGCTGACCAAGGAACGAGCCAGGACAAAGATGAAGTAACGGAGATTATTGAGGAAAAGGGCGAAGGAAGGGAAATAGAACACATTCAAGAAAAGAACGAACACCAAGGAGCGCAATGTCAAGGAATTAAATTTACACCAGAAGAGAGGAAAAAAGTAGAGGATGCATTCGCCTGTTTAGATGAATTTAGGAATCGTTATTCCCTTCCAACACAGTTCATTTTAACAGGATTAAAATTATAAATTTTAGGTAAGACAATTTTTAATATACGTAATTAAATATTGAGGAATGCATCATTTTATTCTAAGCATAACTCAAATTAATTTTTTTGTTTAGGTAATGTTCAACAATGAATAGATGATGCGTAGTTACTGAGGAATAAAATACTTTTAAGAAAAAAAATACACCGACTTCGAAATGCACTAAAAAGTATAAAATAATTTCTATTTCATTCAATCATACAATTACGTCACAGATATGAATGATTTCATTCAATCATA